CCTTATTGCTAATTGACGCTGGTCTGCATGAATGCGACGTCGCGTCGCTTACATGCAAGTGCCTCATGGCCAAGCGCAAGACGCTGATTGGGCACATTTGCTGATCTATTAAAATTGATACCTTTGAAGTGCAACAACTGTCATTGTAGTGCATAGTAAAAACAGATAAATATAATTATTTTAGGCTTAGGCCGACTATAGATGACATCCTCACAACACTGATATGGTTCCCACTTCTTCTTGAGCAAAGTTCTATTGAAGTTGAACAATCTTCTATTTTTAATTGTTTCTCATAAAGTTATACTGTATGTTAGTTTTGGCAGACCTAAATTGGGAAATTGGAAAAACAGCGTATAACGCCGAATTTTTTACTGTTTTAATTTACAAGCCAAATTTGTCTATTCGTGAATTTATTGAGTCATTCTTTTTTGAAATCCATATTAATTGTAATGGTGATGATAGTTATGAAGGATTTTTTTCGGCAGATTATTTTGAGTTGAATTCGAAATCTTTCCATACTGTAGGTTGACGCACGGATATTTCGTGAAAGGGCTATTAAAGGCGTAAGCAGTGAACTCAGTTTATTTTTACTTTACCGGTTTTATTTATTTTTACTTTTTATTTTTTTATTGATAAAAGACATGCATGGAGTTCACTTGGCGTATGTGGCGAAGACTGCATGCATGGGTGTGCGCATGCCCCTGGACCCACATCTATCATTGTGTGTAGAGTCAAGCTTTTATTTTTTCGTTTTTAATTCAGAACTATCCAATTGAGGTTTATTATGTGTTTGAAGGCCACCAATTTGTGCACAGGTAAGCACCACATGTCCGGATTTTGAAGGGAGGTGTGGGGAGGTCGCACCTGGGGAGGTGCGCACCTCCCCTGAGATCGTTCTGCACCTCCCCTGAGAATTTTTGCACCCCCCTGAAAAGTGACGCACCCCCCTTGGGAAAGCTTCAATGATATACCAATGTGAAAATTTGACATTTTTGGTTGCTTATGGGGTCTGCATTTCGTAAGAAAGTTTTTCTGTCCAGTGATAGCCATTCATATGTGTCAAGTACCCTTTTAATGCATATACGTCACGTCGTTGACTTTGGCCCGTTCTAAGCCCTAACTTACCAAGGGGGTCATCAGCTAGACTGCTGCACCTCCCCTAAATTTTTTCCACCTCCCCCACTATTTCCACCAAACCTGCTTACTGGCAGGTTGATGTTTTAACGTTGAGTTACGTGTATTGACTTTAGCCTGTGCTACAGATGTAACCTCAAAATCGATAAAACAATTCGTTTACTATTTTTATTATTCTAATATATGATTTCCTTTTCGAGTGCTTCCTTTATTCGTGTTAGGTGTCTCCCAGAATTTACTCTTTTTTCGACCCCCCACAAAGCGTACTCTTTAAATATCGAATCTCAGCAATGATGATGACGAATCTATAATCAACATTTTAAAACGCGTACATGAATAACAGCACTAACCTTTCCCACCCAACGTACAGTTTGTACGCTTGTAATAATGTTGATAGTTAAGGTTACAACCTACCGCCCCTGTTTTATTATTCATGCTTTATTAAAAATATTATTGGTGTTTTTTAACCCCAGGCCAGGACAAAGTAGATTCAACGCAAAGTGGTTGAAAGATATAATAGAGAGCAAGGTGCATTTGATGCAGTCCATCACTTTCTGAAGTCTACTCTTTGCTGTTTTCATGGTGGTTATTGAATTAAGAGTTAAAGGACAAACTAGCATAATCACAGAATAAAGTAAATATCATTTTAATCAATTTACAGTAAAAGTCTACGAAAATGCTGCTTATTGTAACGTACTCTTCTACTGTACTGTTAAATTCATACTTCATATCTGGCTAAATACTAATCTGACATAGCTAATTATATTAGCTATAATAGCTTTAAATAAATATCTCTGTAAATATCGTCCGCATCTGTCAAATTAAAGTTACTGATTTGAACGCATTCGTATACATTCTTGAGGTAGAAATAGCCTGGTTGCCTTTGTGAGGCGCTCAACCCACTAAGGTTTTTCACCAGTACAAGGCCTGTTTTATACGTTGAATTTCGGTCGCGTCGAATGCAATTCAAACAATATAGATGAAGGCTTAATGAGGTTTATCATCTCATTATCTATTGTCTTATGTAATTGCATTCGACGCGACCAAAATTCGACGTATAAAACAGGCCCAAGAAAGTATACTTGTCTATTAATTAAGTCTCGCAGTCGTGTGCATTAAGGTTGAGACATACAGTATCAGGTATTTTGCTGGAAATTTTTACCAAGGGAAGTAAATAGTCACAAAAATTACTGTAAACGTGAAATCGTCTCCTCTGCAGTGTAATATTGTTTGCGTGCATGATATAGGTTTATAATTGGATTTTATAACCTTACCAACATTGGCTTGGGGGAGGGGGTGTAACAGGATGTTGAGAAATATTCTGGAGAAGAGCCCTAAGTTGTCTCAAGTCATTTTGCACGTGATTGTATCAGCGCGTGTAAAGATCACGGTATAAGTTCTTTCACGGTTTCATTTTCCAGCCCGCTACACCCCAGTTAAACACATGTATGTTTAATTAAACAACTTTAAGTGCGCCAGTACAACGTTCACAACAGTCGAATGTTATTCTGAAGTTATTGGTAAGAAATCTGCTTGCGTAGCTATTTCCTATATATTGTCTACCTAACTTATTCATAGTAAGTTCCATCTCGTCTGCATCGTCGGTATCATTCTTTAATACTTGACACGCCATTTGTTCGGCAGGAGTAAGATCCGATACTGGGATAATTTCTTCATCTGCTGAACTAATTTTGTCGACCGTGGAATAAAAGTGAATAGGGTTAACTGCGTGACAAATGTCTTCAGCCAAATTATAGTTGATGTGGGATAATTCTACAATCGAGCTCTTTGGAAAGTCTTGCCATGGATTTTTCTTCATAGACTGGTAAGCTGTAGAGTTAGATCTTTTGTGAATGCCTTGTAGGAGTCTGCAAATTAAACAAAATATGTTTTATTGAACACAGTTGGTATCAACAAACGCGTCATAAGCATTAGCCAAGAAGACGTATATTGCGAATTCTTTTTCGCTTTGGTTCCATAACGACAGCGAAAATTCAGATAACATTCTTTCAAAATATGAAATTCAGTGTAATTTTTATAAAATCCATCACTTTTCGCTGCATCAAGCAGCCGTGTCAATTTTGTATGAAGATAGCTTGACGGGTGGTTGTTTTACATTGATTACGCCTACTACCCCGCGTATAGGCCACCCCCAGTTACCCCCAGATATATGCGCACACGCTTTATTCTGGATATAGGCGCATGCGCCTTTCCATGGTCAACATTTGAGATATGTAATAGACTATATGTGCTACTATACTATACCTATTGGTAGCTCGTAGATGTTGTCTAATATCAGACTGTTCTTCTAACAATTTCTGCAGTGCTGCTTGACAGTTGCGATTTTTTAGGAAAAGCGTTGTCTTGATATCTGTAAGTCCATTGGTCATCATTCTGTATTGTCATAAAAAAAACATTAAAAATACAATCATGACGTTAACCATCTAAGTAGATTAGCTTCTTCTCATTTTTGTCTCTAAAATACTGTAAGTATACTGCAGCGATAAATCTCGGTTCCGAGAAAGAAAGAAAGCGTGTCAATACTCAGGGTGCGATAATTCGCGTACCAACGTACCGGAGGTACGCAAAATTTGTGATCTGGTACTTCTTTGTTTTTAGGCAAGTACCACGTAGGTACGCTGAAATTTGCTATTCGCGTACTTACGTTTTCCTTCTAGTAGTAACTAGCAAACCTGCCAAAGTATTCAAAACCGTGAAGAACTTTAGCTGTATATGTAAATTCCACGCATCCGACATATTTTGGGATGAAAAAAGCCAAAAGGTTATCTTTAGTTTAGGTTAGCTTAATTGAAAAATGTATCGTCATCGTCCGACTGAAAAAAAAATCGCTCGGGTGAGCGATTTTAAAATCGTTATCGTCAAACGCTAGTTTTACCGTTTTCGTTGTATTATCGCGTGTTTACAAGTTATCGTTGTGTGGTGTGACCTGGGCTTAATTGTCAATTCAATGCTATAATACCAAGGCCTAAAAATAAAATACCTGTGGTTCCAGTTTCCCGACCGACCCTATTTTTTTCTGCCCACCCTATTATTTTTTTTTTCAACATGATTGACCGTGCTACCCTATTTTCTCCGGGTGGTTGAGGGCTGCTCGTACAGCGTGCCGAAATGGCGTCTGTTGTCACAATAATTATTGAACCAAATTGCCTAAATTCGTCCGTAGGAACTACGCATCTCTAGTTAATATTGATGTCGGGACTCTACTGAAAATCGCCCAGCAAAAAACCGCCAAAACCATGAAAAAAATATTCAAAAATTTTTTTTATAAACGACCTACCTACCCTAATTTTTTCGTGATATGAAACTGGAACCATGCACAGGTTTCTTTTAGGCCCAATGAGGAAAACTACACTGTATGTAGCTGAGGTCTGACTGTTAGCACCCTCGGTAAATCCACTGTAAATGAGCGATGGCATTCGAGTCACAACGTCGACGCTTTGAAAACTGTTATATTATGTTGTACAAACACCATAATTAAAGATTCATTTGTACAAAATTGCCCATACATTTTTTGCTTTTGGACCAGTAAAACCATACGTATAGGTGTAAAAACGCGTGACTCGGAAGTAGTCTTAGGTACGTCTTGACTCTTAAATTTGTACCAGACCAGGTATGCGGCAAAAGTTGTCGGAGTACCAGTTAGGTACGGCTAAAAATATTGAATTATCGCACCCTGCAATACTATACTCGTCAAGCTTCCGACAATATTTTGTCACAATGAATATTGATAAATATATTAAATATATACTTGATACAGATAAACGCTTTGAGCTAGCATCTTGAACACCGTCCTCTGCCACTTCGTCCTCTGCCACAAAGCTACGCCTTAGTTCAACCAAGAGCTGACTAGATATGATTACACAAACCTGCTTGCCAGAAATTTACTTCTCCACACATCGCACTCGATAGAAACTTTGCTAAGCTCTTCAGACGTCTGTTCCAGATCTCTCTCCAAATTTTTCAGTGTTGTATCAAACTGAGCTTTATCAGCGGTCATTTCCTCAAGCCTAAGAGGACAAAAATAACTAAGTATATCTACAGCCGATTGGTTTGCGTTATCCTGTATACCGCTTTTCTGTAATGATATAACTTTAAAACATTTGGTATTTTACCAAAGGAAAACCGTTATGCTATATACTATAATTATTTATAAAGAATTCGTGATTTGTGATTGTTAACAACCAACGGTGAAATCTTCATATCAGCTCAATGGCTGACTAGATATGGGGTTGTGATGCCAATATCGTACGATGACGCAAATACCAGGATTTTGGACATCTATAACTCGATATAACTATAATTGTGGAAGGGTTTTGTAGATGGAAATTTCGAGTGTGAATTTTACACATTATTAAACCTAACCAGGGCAGTTGCGAATAATCAACTACAGTATAGGCTTTCTAGCAGGAATCGAACCTGCGGCTCTACCAGAAGGCCTATAGTTTGCATTTTTCGCAACTCCTCCTGGTTAGGTCGAATAAATGTATAAAATTCACACTCGAAATTTCCATCTACAAAACCATTCTAAGGAAGCCGCAACTCCATTACAGTAATCATAAATAATGCTATTGGAAACACAAACAACAACGAATGGCATTGCCTTCTGCTGTTTGCAGACTTAAGGATTCAAAGCAAAATTTAAGAAATAACAGAAAAAACTAAATAACAGCAGTACAACGGCATTGTTTCGAAGAAAACCGACTGTGCGAATGTCTTTCACAAATAGGTATATAATGAAACAATTATTAGCTTTCAGCAGATAACACGAACATGATAATATTCGCAGATCACGATGAGTGAAATGCGACAACGCTCAAGAAGGAAGCTACAGTCACTACTAATCATTATCCAGTTATTCATGATTGTTTCTATACAACATACAGAACTACAGTATACAGTTCACACAAAATGGGAAACACTTCGTTAACAAAAGAAATCGATACCTCACTCCAATGTCCTCGCCAACAGATGCTACCAGCAACTTTTTAAGGTCAGAATTTACCTGTAATAAACATAAACAAGTCATTCAAACAGTGATCCACCCTAATCGAGCTCACACCTTCACCAAAACTCTTTCACGCACGAGATCTGCTCTCAGAACCTTCACCAAAACTCTTTCACGCACGAGATCTGCTCTCAGGGTATTTCTTATAAATTCCTACTCAAATATTTTTCATATACTGTACAGCTTACAAGTTCAAGCGTTAGCTTTCAGCTTCGATACATGCCACAATCATCAGACTCGATCAATATTCCTTTTCGTGCTTAATATAATTATCTGTTAAATATGTGACTATCATGACGATAATATACATAGTGCATTTTAGTAGCCTGCAAGGAGACGTTCGCAGCATTTTCGAGTAGTTACTGTAAGACTATACTGAACATAATCACAGACATAGTCAAAGGAATGAAATTAATTAAAGAATATTATGCATACCTTGCTTTGCACAGACAGTTTGTTTAACAGCTTTTCATTTTCCTCTGAGAGTTTTTGGTTTCGAGTTTCTAAGTCTTTAACAAGTGACTGCAGGTCCAAGCACTCAGCCTTTCTTTCTACTGACAGTGAAGTGCCACTAGCAAGATCGCTACCAAGACCAACATGGCTCAAATAAATATTACCATTTCTTAAACTGGTATCCTGTTCTGGAGTTTTTCCAACAAACCTGGACTGAGATAGATTTAGCCTGTCTATTGGCACAGTGGTATTTTTCACTTCCTGCACAGGAGTTAATATTTTACCAGACACAAGTGCATCAAGTTGGCCAGAATCCGTCGTAAAGGTCGGTATATAAGGTTCATTACTAGATGATGAAGTTTGCGGTTTAACCGATGCAGTTTCATGGAGAGTTCCGGCGACTTCATTGTACGTTAGCCCTGCACTAGCTGTAAATGACATTTAGAAAGTAGAAATTAAACATTGTTATTAACTGAGAAATATAAATTAAACATTAAAAATTAAACTGAGACACAAGTACGAAACTTTGCTGTGGAAAAACGAACATTTTTCTAACATTTTCTTTCGAGTCTTGCCAAACTTTCGCCACCATTTATTAGCGTCACCACCATGAAAGGATCACAAGGAAGGAAGTAGAAAGAAAGTAAGTAAGTAGAAAGGAGTATTAATTACGGATCACAAGGAAGCTCGTACCAATTGCAACCACCTACAAACCAAACAACTCAACATGGAACAAACTGACAATGAACGAGATGGTGTGGATTGATGGCAAACTTACATGGAACAGACAGGTGAACGAAAAGAATAGGATATCGTAAAAGTTTAATTTTAATTAGTGATTCACTCGAACCAGGTACAGTACTGTTTAGAAATGACCGTGTTGGTGTAGTAACTGAAATATGCAGCATTTGTACATTCTTTCATATTCTACCCTACAGATGCAGATACAGATACAGAAGCTGAATTCTGAAATTGAATAGTACACTGTGCCCTAAGCTCGCAAAAGCTCGTTGGGAGTTTTTTTTATATTTTGCGAAAATCTTTTATTCAATCTAGTGTGTCAGTTCCACTTTAGGGAACAATTTGGTCCTTCGAGCCGGATCTGAAGGAAAAATAAACAAGATTTCGTGACTTCCAGTTCGATATTCGGAGTCGAACAAGACAAATATGAGCATGAAAAGTCAAGATATTCAACCGAAAACTTAGCTGAGGCTCAACCAGAGTCCCCTATTCAACAGGGGCCTATAGTAAAGATGAAACGACGATGAAATAACAAGTACGAGCAAAAAGGTTAGAATGTTGCGTAGTCGCAAACAATCAGCAGACTGGTCTTACTAAAGCAAGATAAAACAAATCGCAGACCTTGTTGATAGCAACAGTTTTGGCAGTAAAGGCCCAGCGACCAAAACCGAAATCAGAAAAGCTGCTCTCAAAGTAGAAAGGAGTAAGAAATAATTGTGAAGCTCATTTATAGCCTAAAGAAAATTGTTGCGCTTGAAGATGGTGATGAAAACGTTGACATTGATGCGCCATTGAAGCTCTTGACAAAAAAATTACCGAGTTAACCACTATGGTGGACAGTGCGGTAAAAGCTGCGGAAGAACATGTACAGCAACGACTATAGCAATGGGTGAAGCAAAATCGGCTACAGCTTCACTTACATCAAAGGACGATGATGATCGAAATTCGGTGACATCTGTCTCATCTTCATTAGCTTCAAAGAAACGAAGAGAAGCGGAAGCGTACTTTTAGTTTTAGAACAGGAACAGCAACAGCCACAAGAGGAAGAAGAATTACAAAGGCGAGTCGCTGCATTTCACCTGACAAAACGAAGAACGGAAGAAGAACGACAAGTGGTGGTCAATGAAGCCCAAAGCGACAGCAGCTGAAAAGGAAGCAACAATCTTTCCAAATACTGAACCTAAAATTAATCTGGAGTCGAAGGGCAACCTAAATCGAAAGCAGTTTTCTCATGAACTGCCTGCAATGTCTGTCAAGCAGTATCCATCTGCAGTGGAACATTTTCAGCAACGACTTGTGCCCATAAGATTAAAAGGAGTGGAACTGCCTACATTTTCAGGAGAAAACAAGGCAGACTATGCACCATGGAAAGCTGCATTGATGTCGGTTATTGATGAAGCAGCCATCTCTACCAAAGGAAAAATGCTCCGCCTTCAGAACAGCTTGACTGGAAAGGCGTTAAGAATGATCAAGGACTTGGGATACATAATAAACGCCTACGAAAGAGAAAATAGAGGGAAAGTATGGCGGAGAAATGCGACTTCAAATATCCAATATAACAACTCTTCGTGGACAGTTTTAGCACTGTTGGAGTATTATAGCCAACCGAAGTTTGTAGTGAACCGAAGTTCAGCGACAATTACGATATGGCTTTATCCAGGCTCGAGATACTGGAAAAGTCGCTACTGAAGAAAGGACCGGGGGTCAAGAAAGCCTGTGAGAGAATCATCGACGAACACAGGATTAGGGTTACATAAGAACAGTGACTATTAAAGCGGAAAACCAGTGGTTTCTGTCACATTTCCCCGTCATCAGAGAAGATAACTCAAACCACCAAAGTCCGCATAGTGTTCGACGCTGCTGCTACACACAAGGGAAAGAGTCTCAACGGTGCCATTTTACCAGGTCCGAAGTTAGAGCGAGAATTACTTGATGTGTTGATACGATTCCGTCGCGCCCCTGTCGCTCTCTCAGCTGAGATGTGCTCGATTCCTGTGAAACCATCCAGGAAGCTCAAGTACTACAACGTGAACTGTTGGACGTCTTACGCAAAGGGGGCTTTAATATGAGAAAATGACCCTCCAATGAGCCATCCGTATTTAAGGACATTCCGTTCGAAGATAGATTGGCAAGTCTACAAATTGAAGATGAAAATCCTCCTGCAGACTTGCGCAAAAGACTTTAGCGTACTATGGAAAGCAAAAGAAGATGTTTACATTTCGAGTCGAAATACCTGAGACCAACTCAGTGCCATCGCCACATTGTTCGATCCCTTCCAGTTCCTCGCACGATTTATAGAACGAGCGAAAATCCTCATACAAGAAAAATGGACGCAGGCATTGGTTGGGACGACGTATTACTGAGTCAACTTCAAACTAAGTGGAAGCAGTGAAACGCAGAGCTTCCAGAACTGTCGCAGTTTACAATCTCTCGCAGCTTACACCAACCAAATCCTAAAGAAATTTACCTGCACGTATTTGTGATGCTTCCGAGAACGCCTACGCAACCGCCGTCTACCTGGTATGCCATTATCCTTCAGATCTACAGTACCTACCTCTTGCTTTATCGTAGCTAAAAGTCGTGTGGCTCCAATCAAAGCAACAACCATCCCTCGTCTGGAGCTGATGGGAGCAGTTCTCTCTACTCGTGTGGCTAAAAACATTGCACAAGTCACGGACTCGACTAACGTATACTGTTTTGGGTTCGCAACGAAACCTGCAATTTAAGTCATTTGTGGCTAACCGAGTGGGGAAATCCAAAGAACGACTGGCCCGGAGCAATGGCGTCATGTTCCTGGAAACTTAATCTTGCAGATCTACCCACCAGAGGTCTCTCTACCAAGAACCTAGTCGAAAGAAAATTCTGGAAGGTCCGGAATTCCTGAAAGTTGATATGCCAAAGGTTTTAGACAAACCCGAGCTGTGGGAGGAGAAGAGAGCAACAAAGACACACCTCTGCAGGTTATCGAAAGAACGAAGAGTTAATAGCAAGACACATTCCCCTGACGAGATAGCACCAGCCGAGATCTGGTGATTACAAAGGACGCAGAAAAAGGTCTTCCCAGATGGCGAAAAACAGCAAACGCAGCACTGAATTACCGAGGTTCATCCTGGGAAAGACGGTTTAGTTTGCTTGGTAAAAGTCAAAGTATGCAAGAATGTTTACGAACGCCCGGTGTATTAACTGTGCCCACTTGAGTGCATGTGCTGATTAAAGGACGCCCAGGACATTGCAGTGTAAACGAACTAGATTCACGAAAGGACTGGTTAGAGTGAACACTTCGTATTCGGGAGGGGGATGTTTTGGACTTTTTAGAATTTGGGATACTGTGCTCTAAGCGCACAAAAGCTCGCTGCGAATTGTTGTTTTTTTATACTTTGCGAACGAATTATTAACTTTCTTGGTCGTATTTATATATTTTTTTTGCAATCTTTTATTAAATCCAGGTGTCAGTTCCACTTTAGGGAACATACAGCTATTTCAATTAAGGTTGTCCCCGAGCAAAGCGGAAAAGTCGACTACGAGCGCGAAAGGCTTGCTGGGAATCGCTAAAAAATTAATGAATTTGGCTTTCCATGATATAGCCCTTATACACCAAGTATTGGTATAGTACTCTAGTGTGTACCTAAATGTTATATTTTTGCACTGTTCTAATTTCGCGCGTTTTGGCCTTAGTAAAATGACGTTGCATAAAAATGACGACACTTAAATTTTTTGACACTTGTTCGAAGATAATAATTTGCATAAAAGTTGCATAAGCTGACGAGGACTCTGATTGGCTAAAATGACTGCTCTGCACGAGATCTCTCTCACAACCAAAGCACTGTTCATATAAATTTGTTAGTTATAGCGTTACTTTTATATGTAAATAAACACAATTCTTATAGTCAGGCAATTCCATTTTGCCTTCATATTGTGCCCTGAATGCTAATAAGTATGTTTCTGTATGTTGGCCGCGTTAAAATTTCTTGTGGGCTCCTGCCGACACGTTTTTCTTCGAATTTTGTGTTAAACTCTATTACAGTTAAAAAATGTGAAATTTCTGATACATTTCTAATACAAATGACTTGCATCAATAGAAAGCTAACAAAAAACTACATATGAAACATTTGAATGGTTAGTTGGGATTTTCAAGCGGTTTTCGAGTTATTGCCGTTTCAAATGTGAAAAATAAGCCAAAATCTCGCAAAATTCCTGGGTACTAGTCTGAAAATACGCATTCAACAGCTCATAACTCAAGAAGAACTTGAAAAATCCGGGTAACCGTTTAAATGTCTTATATGTAGTTTTTTGCAAGCTTCCATGCAAATGATGTAAGTCATTTGTGTTAGAAATGTACTTGAAATTTCACATTTTTTAACTGTAATAGAGTTTAATACAACATTCGAAGAAAAACGTGTCGGCAGGAGCCCACAAGAAATTTCAACACGGCCAACATACGGAAACCTACTAACTAGCCTTCAGGGCACAATATGAAGGCAAAATGGACTTGTCCCACGATAACGTAAGTTTTTTCCTTCTATCTGCCCGACTAAGTACGGTACCAAAAATTTGCAAGAAACCTGAATTCGAGAAAATTCCAAAAGACCGAATAACAGGACAGCTTTTAAGTTCAACTTCAATATTATCGTTATCGATGTTGGATAATTGCAAGAATTGTGGATTTGCAATAAATTCCTGCCTCATTATAGAATGAGGCAATAATCGAATATGATATCAAACATGATATTACTGCACTAACTTTTATCATTAGACAAACTTTGAGATTCCATTCCATCTCCACTTGATCTTGGTAATTTAGCATAGTCTAAATTTAAAAAAGTCATGCCACACAATGAATGAGAAAAACGTAGCAAGCTCATACTGTCTTACGTTGGTATTGTTTGCAGGGTCTGCTGAAGGAATTGGGTTCATTTCATCATGATTATAACTTGATTCTAGAGTGGATCGATATACCGGATATATCCGGTATACCGGTATTTATTTAGATACCGGTATGGCGATAGTGACAATTTAAAAATACCGATATACCGACATTTCAGTATTTTGCTGCCTAATACCGAATTGAAACGCTATTTCAAGTCAAACTTGCTTACAATCACGTTTAGAAAGCAAAGTTAATACTCACAGATGGAAAATACTCACATTTTGGAAATATTTATCGGGCAGTATAAGAAGGTAACTACAGTATAAGAAGGTAATAACAGTATGTGCCACATTCATATTTTGTCAAAACTTGATTTTTCTCGACGTTCAGCAGTTCAGTTTGGCTTAAAAAAAACACGTTAAAAATACCGGAATACCGGTATTTACCGGTATTCTGATGGCGGTATATCGGTATTCGGTATTTGCGATATCGATCCACTCTACTGATTCCAGAAGAGACACTGTATCCAGAAGCAAATTCATACTGTAGCCACTTGCATGCATGAAACACATGTTAATACACGTAACTTAATACACGTTTGCAACTTTCAGAAGTCAAAATTCGAATCAAAGTGCCTTTTGTTGTGACGCCTGCATACATGTATGTACGTATTTACAGCAGCTACGTACAAAATCAACATAATGTTATTATTACCATTTTGCAAATTACCAGTGGCTTGTTGGTTGCCAACGCTCAATATATATCCAGCCATTTTACCTGAAACAAGTTAAGACATATCCAATGAAATTATCTGATCAGGTTCTATATTAAATTAGGCATGTACTAAAATCTGGAACGGAACAAAGCCACCGGAACAACCGAAACGACTGAAAACAACCGAAACAATCAAAGGAAAGATGCATTTTCATTTGTTTTGAATTAAGTAATTACGGAAGAATTGAATAGAAAAGGAGGAGAAAATTATATTTTATAAACTTTATAAATAATAAATAGTGTAAATAATTTATAAGTACTACAGTATATACGACCACATATAAATTGTAAACCTTATAAAACAAATCGCCCAATCAAATATTAACTCTCCTTGCCTAAATTAAATTGTATAAAGTTTTCACCAAATTATGGAGAAATACGGCAGTAAATGTTAAATTTCTAAACTTTTATGTGTTAATATGTGGATCTCTAAGGGAAAGTTCGCCCATTTTTAAAATTATTGAAAATTATCATACTGTATAAAAACAAAGAAAATAGTAATTGTAACACAGAAGAAAATAAAGTACATAACAACACAGTAACTTTCCACTCGTAAATTTCCATCTACAAATTAAACCTTTCAACTGTTAAGTTAATTCTATATATATCGAGCGCGATGCCCAAAATCTCGATGTAGTACATAACAACAGACTACGAAAAGGGAAGTGGGAAGGTTCAATTAGCCATCAGGTGAGTAAATTTGTTTATTAGATATGATCCTATGGCCTATGGCCATGTCGTTCAGTGCCAGTACTGACGACCGTTCAAGTACGACGAAAACGTAAAGCAATCGCATCAACTAAACTCAGAAACACAACAAATGCATCCTATTAATTATATTTTTTACATATACTGCTAACATTTTTTGAACATCATATGAACGTTGCCTGTCAGGTATTTTGACCGTAAATATGAACTTTTCTCACCTAGCTTCGCCTCACTACTTTGCAAAACGTTTTTAACATGAGATAATGCAATTATTTCATTTAAAACAGATGATCATGAAAATAGATCTTCTAGTATCGTTTTGATTTTTCTGGCTGTTAAGGTTGTTTCATTCGGTACTTTTGTTTCAGTGGTTCCAGTGTCCCCCCAGACATGGTGCCCGGAGTAATTGCCAATTGAATTGAAGAAATTAACAGTGATTTCACTGTATGTTCCTCATCAGAAACAATTGCTGCGGCAAAATAGCAAAGGCAAAATAGCAAATTTCCAAAAGACAGCAGCAATTATTCTGCTAAAGCCAGGTGTATAGCCCTCCACAGGGTCCACTTCTCAGTCAACCAGATGTTAAATTAGTCAATTGATAGAACAATCGGTTATCGGTGAACTGCAATCTATGGTCGTTTTTTTCTTTAAACGATTTGGCAGACCAGCTCAATGATTAACTTTGAGGAATCTTTTACCGACATCTAAATATGCAGCCTGACAATGGTTCTGTGTACTAGTAACTAGTTGCAATCAAGGATATTATGTAACATTTGAGAAACAGTTAGAATATACAGTGTATTGTGCAGACTGAATTAATTGTACACATTAATTGTACAACACCACTAATAGTCCTCATAAAGTGCAGAACTATTACAATAAATCCACTGTCATATTCCTGCTCAGATATTGAGATTAAGCTCATGGATGATATTTATTATAGATGTAACAATATCTAAATGAAATGATAAAACGCAAACAAATAGTGTACATCTAGAATTTCAGATGCGTTTTCAAATAAACATCATGCTGGAAGAGTATAATTCACTCAAACCGCATATTTTGATACAAAACCAAATGAAGTGTGTATCTTATGTACTTATGTAATTACTTAAACAGTACTGCATATAAAGTGTAGGTAGCACTGATAACAGACAGCTTCAGTGTGTGAGAGATTCAAGTACACATACAACTACCGGAGAAATATAAACAGAACTTCAACATTTCGAGAGATGGCTCTTTGTCAAGAACTTAATAGCTGAGGGCCTTTGCTCAAAACAATGAATTTCTGTTTATATTTCTCAGGTAGTTGTGTCTCTCTTGTGCGCACCACACCTGTTTATGATAAGGGAAGTCTCACATATCGATTTTGTCCACGAGAAATGTCATATGTTCGTTTGGGTTCTCTGTAAAACATCATGGAAAAATTCGATAGTTTTTTCGAAAGCCTTAACATTTCGGAATCATCTTTGCAGAATATAAAAAAGAAAACAACTTGATACAAACACCAGTGTATACATTCGTAATACCATACCTGTTCTATACCTCAAATTTCAATATTTCATGCAAAAAAAGAAATTTGAAGAAACATTGGAAATTTTGAAGTTCATATATATTAATAAAAACATATGTTCTAAGCAGCTCTAAGATGATATATTCCGATCGTGGAAGGATCGTGCCAATAGCCGACCATAGAAAATAGTAGAAAATTACCTTATGTGTACTTAAGAACAAAATATCAAGAACTATGTGTGACATTTCTAAGGGGGAGGGGGGGCTCCAGAGAAACGTTCATATGACGTTTCTCATGGACAAAATTGATATGCAAGGCTTCCCTAAACCACAGCTAGATTTGTAGAGGGACACACCCAATAAAACTGGGATGGTTCATAGGGATGTGCCGGATACTGTTTTGCCGGATACCGGATAGTAGTCTACCGGATAGTAGTCTACCGGATAGTAGTCTACCGGATAGTAGTCTACCGGATAGTAGTCTACCGGATAGTAGTCTACCGGATAGTAGTCTACCGGATAGTAGTCTACCGGATACCGGTCAGGAGAAAATGATGACCGGATACCGGATAATAACCGGATACCGGATAATAACAGATACTCCCATACAATAATTTATTAGAAACACAACATTTTTATAGCTTAATTAACTAGTCCAAATCCAATGTGGCAATGTGTGAATACACATTTTTTGTCTCTTTGACCTATTTGTCTTTACCAAGGTCATATCTTATGATTCACCTTATATTGTTTACTGGTATTCAGTATATAAAATTCACTGCTGTTGGCGAACGAGCAGTTTATATCACCATCACAAAAAAAATATGTTGTAACTTCGTCGTAATGCAGCGCATGCTCAGTAATTATTTGTGTTTCACAATTTGTAAATGCCAAGTAAACTTTTCCATTTCATGGTTGTAAGAAAATATCTTGCAGTACTATCCGGTAAATATCCGGCAAATTTATACCGGATACCGGGTAGTGCCGGATGTCTAAATTTTACTGGATATCGGATACCGGTATCCGGATCCGGCACATCCCTAATGGTTCACCCTCAGTGCTATAGCTTGAACCTTTTGAGTTCGCCAAGGCAAAAATATTATGAGCCTGCCTGTCAGTGCTGGGAAATATCTGGCAGCACCAGCAGCAACAACTGTCAGACAAATTTTTAACAATGAAAATATCTTCGCAGAAATTTTCTTACATCTTGCAGGAAATTTTTGTGATCTGATACACTAGAATGCCAAATAATTTATTTATTACAAAAATTCCAAAAGAATATCACAAGTTTATCACAATATGGGGCGCACCATACGTTCTCTGAAATGTACATATGCAGGAAGGTTTATATTTATTTGACACTGCTGTCTGTTAGCCTTCACCATGTATTACAATTCTTTCCTCAAATTCATCCAGATGGATTATCTTAATTTCTCTAGACTCTAGTATATAAACCAGGCTATTAACATACTTGATAATCATGATAGATGCATTCATTCATTTATCATCACATTTTATTGAATATAAAAGATTTATTTTATATAAAACACCAATGGCTTCAATTGATCTATAATTATCACCCCAAAATGTTTCAACAGATACTGTAATATGTTCATCTCACTCTGCCAATTAATAAATATTAAGAACGATATTTAATATTTGGCAGATGGCATACGACGTGTAAAATATTTACCTTGTAGCTTTGTTCGGTTAAAATGTCCTCAAAATTCGATTTACCAAGATTAACACGAATAAAAATTATTGAAGCTTTGTGAAGTGAACAGATAAAATTACTTTATTATAGAACTTTGTAAAATATATATATATATATATATATATATTTATATTATAATGCGACCGCAGTGCCACAGAAACAAATCTTTGTAGTCTTTTGGCCACAAATTATGTTGTAAAATTGTGAAATCAATACAATAATTTCCGGTTTTTCAGCTTCGATCCAGGCCACTTCCTTTCGAGCAAGGATTAGGAACCAAATACACCACGAAACACCACGTACTTAGGGACGGACCATTATTTTTTGGAGGGGGGGGGGATGCAAAATTCTTTAAAAAATTGTTTGTAAAGACAAAAAAGTGCAAATAAATTGTTTGCACACATAGAGACGAGGAAAAAATAGTTTGCAAGCTAATGAGATTATGCAACATCAACCCAGGTTTAATAACAATGAACAGAGGTCAGAGCGCTCACCGACATACCCATGGGTCTTCACCCCAAAAGCCCTGGGATGGGAGACGCTGGGCACATGTCGCAATCTACGTACATATGGGTTATAAATATTAATGATTAATTTAATCTATTGAATACAGTCATTTTTTGGTCTTTTTTGTTGCTTTTAATTTTTGAGGTTTTTTTTTGTATAAAATATGTAATTGGACAAGTACTGGTGTTAGACATTGTGTAGCATAAATAATGATCTTTTTAAGTACCAGTATCAGAGCCTTTTTTAACATTGTCCCCCCCCCCAGGAAAAGTCCCTTTTTCCTAAATTTACACAAACAAACCAGCGAAGAATAACAAATAGATAAACGAAAAGTACGTTTTGGGCTTAAAATTATCCTTTGTATTAAATTGTTATGTTTTTCTAGTGTTAATATTTTTTTATTTTTTGTACATTTTTTCCTTCTTTTATTTCAAATACAAGTATACTTAGCATAAATTTTAGAGCAAATTTGGATGCTCAGAATGCATTTCCGGGCTTCAAATTTCAAAAATGTTCTGGGGGAATATGCCCCCACAGCCCACACACGTAGCCTTCAGCCATTGCTATCCCCCCCCCCCCACTAATAAGGAATGATAAATTATGGTTAATATCTTTTAACTTTTTGTGCATTTTTTCCTTCTTTTATTTCACTAAATACAAGTATAGTTAGCATAAATTTTAGAGCAAATCAGTGGATGCTCAGAATGCAGGAAATGGCATTTCCGGGCTTCAATTTCAAAAATTTTCTGGGGGAGTATGCCAACAGACCCCCCCCCCCTATTCATGCGTGGTATGTTGGCCATACAGGTGGCCTTCAGCCATTGCTGCCCCCCTCTAATATATTGTCTCACAGAAAGGTCCCTTTTCAAAAAATCCCCCCCCCACGGGAAAATCCTTAAAAAAAGGCCCTGGCCAGTATACAAAAAAAAAACCAATTAAATGTCTGTTTACATATTAAATTTGTATTTTTGACAACACCACATGTTGTTCACACATGTGATAGTGTAATCGGGCACAAATTAAACTATATATATATATATATATCAATTTATAATGAAATCCACAGCAATCAGATGGACAAAAAAATTGTTTGCAGAAGGAAGCAGGCGCAAAAAATTGTTTGCAATGACAATAGAAAAAAAAATTGTTTGCAATGACGAAATGTTCATCCCCCCCCCCCTCCAAAAAAATAATGGTCCATCCCTTATCACGAAAATTATCAGTACATGAAAGCTTTGCTCCCATAAGGCCATAAATGAAAATTTTATTATTCACCGGCGGATAAAAGTATTGTCACATTGTACTGTTTCATCTAATCATAGCTATAGGTTTAATGAGCGCTCGTAGCTGAGCTGTGAGCTCCATAATGATATATAGCTGGAGCAAGAACTTCAGTCACTAGGCCTTTGAGAAAAGTGAAGCCAAGATGGCGGCCCGAATAGCTCTGAAGGTCGTAAACCAGGAACGTGCTGTGCCCACAACTAGTTCTCGTCGGCTCGTCCCGCCCCCCCGCTAGCCGACAATTTTGGGCTGAAAAAAGATTAATTAGGGACTGATCGAAATGTTTTATGTTTGATGAGTAATACCCCCCACCCCAATCTTGATTTATCCGTCACTGGGCCCCATCAAACGTTGCTCATGCATTCGTTGTCCTTTTCACGACCCTCTCGTCTCTGTCGTAAACAAGTTTTATACCATTTTCGGCTAATTCCATTTTTTTCTAACTGGCCAATATCGCTAGCTAACCGAATCGTCAGTTCATAAAACCTTGGACATAGTGTTATTCTATAACACTAGGACACAGTCGAAGTCAAAACAGGGCCTTTTTAAGAATTTGTCCATGGGCGGGGGGCTACTACAAAAAGGGATCATACTATACTGAGTCGGTGTGGAGAGATGACACTTGTCACCATTACATTATACTGTAGATAGTATTAGACCGAATCTTCAGTTAATTAAGTATTTGCATGGTGTGTTAATAGTGTATATACCACAACTTGGTCACTAACTGGTTTAGCCTAGCCTTCCAACAAGTCAAGTCTATAGGGTCTGATATATGCCATCCACTGGGAAATTTTTAAAATCTAAGGTATTTATAACACATGTTCAATGTTTAGCATTTTTAAAAAGACATTGAATCAATCATTTGAAGATAAAAGACATGACATAAGATTCACAAAGCAAATTTCAGTTACTAGAATATCAAACCTCCTTCTAAATACCATTTTTCTTCCAATATTTTGCTTATATTTTAGAGCGAGAAAAGGGAACTCGGCTGTTGGAGGCAAAATGGTTGATTGGGTGGGGCTATTTTGGTTTGCACTTTTAGTGGTTATGCCAGGTGCTATTAAAATTATATGAGACATCTATTTTTGGTTACATCAGAATTTTTCTGTAGCAATGAATCATACACACTGTATATTGTATAACAATATCTATATAACTTATAAGATATATAATTATGTTATAATGCCTCGGAGAATCCAGGTAAGATTCCCTGGGCTAAATATTAATGCACACCACACGATAAAGCAAAGTACATAAATTATATTATGCAGAAGTTTTGACCAGAAGTTTGTAGACATAATTTGTCCAGTGTTCACCAAGCCCATACCAACAATTCGTAGACCGACCATACTTATCATAGCGTACACCTGGATCTGTTGTTGCCCAGCACTCTCCGTAGAATTGAATTGCGAAATACATAGCTTTTCTCTCCTGTGCGTGAATGGAACAGTTTCCAACAGTATACGACGGATGCCACCAGTCTATTTGACCGCGAAGATTTTTGAGCATGCGAAATACGCGTCTCTTACCACCTCTGTCTCGGAAACAACCAACTTTCTCATACTGTGCAATATCTGACAAAAGATTGGAGTGAAAATATGTAATATAGAAAAAGGTTATTGATTCGGGGAATACTTGAGGAATAGTGCAGAATATTAAACTCGGAATAATGAGGAGTAAATAGAATACACAGCGACGTCGCGAAGTCATTAACGTCATGGACCTCATGGTTTGACCAAGTTTTGGCGAACACTAGCAGCTTTGACTTACTGCTAGTGATCTGATCAGTTAATCCAGCTTCGCTGTGAAGAGTGCATGTCCGTAAGCAATGAAAATAATTATTTTTCTCTTATATCTAATTTAGAAACAAAAGTGCATTTCTTTGTGATCCGGGTCATGGTCTCACGGAAAAAGAGAATGTATCCTTGCGAAGAACCAAGCACTGGTCCTAGCACAGGCAAAATGTTACGTACTATAATTATGAAAATATGAGCAGCTGATCTTTATGTAATATTTCAAATCCAAGTTAGTGTTTTAGACGTGGTTTCCAAATACAAGCGACATGAACAATGGCGAGGCGCAGCCGAGCCATTGTTCATGGCACTGGGGATTTGGAAGCCAAGTTTAAAACACTAACGAGGATTTGAAATTGCTTCTCACACATCATTAGATATCATAGCAATGAGGCATGAAATTATTAGCTATTCAATTATTAGCCAGGGGCGCATATTAGTTGATAGCCCACTGCCCCTCCCCCCAGAAACATAGTACCCAGCACGCCACTGCGTGAATAGAATGATGAATTTTGTTGGCAAAAGAGTATGGCATCTTCTTATAAGAAAAAGCGGTTTCGAGAACCGGAAAGTGTTGAGCACAGTTTTGAAAATGTAAAGAAAGCCACTCGCTGACAATTATAAGGATGGAAATCCGTACCCCCGAAAAACGACATCAGATAGTGTGTGTGATAAGGCGCTATTTGGTGGAAAATTGTTGAATATATTAGACGGTAAACATTACTGGTAAGTTGCTGTATTATTGCTGTACTGTTTATTATGATAGTTGGTAAACAATCGTAATTTTCCTTTTCGTATATTTATGTAGTTTTCAAACGTTCAGAAAAAGTGTTAGATGTAAAGTGTAGTTAGAAAAAATTTCTAAATACAGCTTACTGTATTTAGAAATAATTCTAAACATAGCAATTAAATATATTTGCATAATCTTTTGTTTACCTCTCAATTTCCCTATTGTTCAAAGCCCTTCCCACTTGAAGTAATTAAAGTCTTGGTCTAGACGGGTATACAGATAGATACACGTGATGTAAATTACACCATGTTATTGGCCGAAATGCTATGAATATCTAATGATGTGTTAGAAGGACATTTACATCAGGTTGTTCCACACTCCCCACCCCCCTCCCCCACCCTTCCTTTAGCTAGCGCCGCCCAAGGTAACTTGTTACCGTTGCAGTTACTCAAAAATGTAACGGTTACATGTGTGTAAGTAGTCAAATCGGAATATTATACTATATATAATGGAAAACGTAAGCCTGCTTGACCACACCGTTGATCATTGCCTTCCTCCTTCATTACTAAGAAATACGTGTGTTTTGCAATTACTATCTATTTATTAATGGGCTATCGTTTTACGTTTCTTAATACTGTGTTTCGTTATTAAGCCTTCCTGCGAAACATGCACAAATATAAACACAAGCCAGCAGGAGAGAGGTGAGACGGATGAGTGGATTACAAAAGAGTGGAACAAAAGAAATTACTTACGATGGCATGGCTGGTCATAGTTACACTGCTCTGTGGTCGCAGGTTTGACAGCATGATGATGTTCACAAGTTGAATTTGGTAGAATGACACTTATTCCATCATCATTTAACATCTCACATTTCAATTTTCTCGTCATTAAACCCAAGTCGCATGTTGTCGAACACTGAAAATAAATTTGACAGATTAAGCTAAGGAGCTTGTAATACGATGTTATGTAGCACAAGGAACAATATTCATAATGTGCAGTGCCTATGAAGCGAAACTTTTATCGTCTTAAATGAAATAACTCTAGTCAGGTATAACAGTAAACGTTAAGTAACTTTTTCTGAAGATTTTGGTTTCCACAATTTGTTATTAAGATATTTCTACCTTTGCAATATTCGAATGATAACCATCTGGCTTTTTTTGTCTTATTAATATATTCAACATAATTGTAAAATAATCGTGTATTATAGTTGAATCTCGTATCTAGTATAATATATTAAATTTTATACTTGTGGCTTCTCAACAAAAAAGCGTGTAAATAAATTAAAATGTTGAAGACACTGACATTTTGAAATTTCAAAAGAAGGACCTCCGCTGGGAGAATCACTATACGAAGATACAGATAAACACCCTACGCATGCAGTTATACTTGATATAGTAAAGTCACAATAATGGGAGTCGTTTGCTGAAAGGAATAGAATAACTCGAAACCTTGTGAGGAAATGGCGCAAGGCATGAAAGTTTTCCTCAAGTAAGTCCAGGGCCGTCGCTGGTATGTACTCCCCCCCCCCCCTGAAAACATCTTTTCGCCAAAATGACGGATTTGTCGTAGTCAACAAAACACGAATTGGAGAAGAAGAAAAGGAATTAAAATATTTGAGTTAAACTGATTAAAAAGTAACAATTATAGAAAAAATGTGGAGAAATTTACGAAAATATTAACGAAACATTTTGAAAATAACGTACGTTAACACCCTAAAGTGAATGAAAATGATAATGGCCGGAAAGAATTTTTTTCCTCCCCCCGGCGAAATGTTGTCGGCAAATGCGATACTACACCTGCCTGCTTTAAAATCTTCGCAACGGCCCTGAGTAGACCATGCAGAACTACAGCTCGGAAACAAATGTGGAAGGCTCATTAAACGAATATTACGTTATATTTAGTTCACTGGAAGGCCACGCCCAGGTATTGGTGATTCATTTCATTTAATTTACCTGAGACCAGGGAAGTGGAACATATTCGGGTGGACAAGCTATTTGATTACAAAATTGTTGATAAGGCAAATTTGTTGAAGGCAATCCAACACAACTGCTGTTTCCTACAACAACCCAGGACTTCGTTGTCAGTCGTCGACATACTGTTTTCCTTAACTGAACCCCTTTACCACAAGTTTGGGAACATGATGAAATAGTAGAGTACCACCTTAACAGATTCAACAGATTAATTTTGTTATATATAAGCATGAACATAACCGAAAAAAATTGGATTATTATAATTATAATTATAGGCATATTATAATTTGTGAAAGTTCTCCGGATTGATAATAACTTTTATTGAGCTTTCGATTCAGTACTTCGAGTCTTCATCAGAATTGTTTTACTAACCACCAATGAAATGGGATCATCGTCAAGCGAACAACCAATCAGACGCTCCTGGCGTATACAAGAACGCAAACAACAACGCGAAATTTCAAACTCATTAATTTTAATATAATTCAGTCTGATGAAGACTCGAATTACCGAGTCGAAAGCTCAATAAAATTAAGAGAACTTTCACAAATATATATAAGGGGAAATATTCTCTAGTGAGATATATCATAATTTCAATTTGCAGACAAAAAACTGAAATTTCCGCCAGAACTCGCATTGATAACTAACTTACTCTGGTGGACAATCCTGATTATTACATGAAATTTCGGATTGTGGCTTTCTTCTCTTATTACAGGCTGTATTGGAGATTCTTGTATGATCATCCCGGCGGTAACACGAAACAGTCCTGGTAGATATCCCTAATAAATTATAAAGACGTCATTAGAGTAGGTTATACAGCATTGTTTTCAGTCAGAGCATTTTGGAGTACATGAGGAGGGCTCGTTCTTCACAATAAAACTGCAAAGTCTGTGTTGGATCTACCAATCGATGTTGATTGAAGTGGTATCCTTTGTTGTATAGAAGACAATTTCACAGAATGATGTAGTTTTGTTTATAAATGAGCCTTGAACAATGTTGACTTTAATATGGAAGAAACTAAAGGACGTGATTTACACTGTCATGATACAAGAAATAAACAGTTAATAAGATCCCCCCCCCCCTTTGTAGAACTAATTGGGGACAACAAACATCGCACTATATGTTTTTAATGAATGGAATAATCTTCCGTCATTTGTTAAAGATTCTAGTAGCTTATTAGCTTTTAAAACAACTATGTCTCAGTATGTTATGGATAACTTGTTATCTTAGTGTTTTAAGTGTGGACTTAATTGACCATTTAATTAACTTTTTGAACTTCTTGGGATTTCTAATTAATTATTAATTTTTCATAATCTTGTTGCATGCTGTATACTGTTTGGAGTAAAGATTGCAATAATTATAGTTAGATTTTATGTAAATATTTATTTCCTTATTTGAGGACCCACATAGAGCAGATAAAGATAATTATAGGAAATACAGAGATGAAGGAATGCCAATTATATAGTAACGTTATGAAACTGAAAAATAGGAAATCGAGAGAGTAGACAAAGATGGGAGGGCTATTTGAAAGAACTTCTAAATATCACTGAGGAATATGAAGATGGACATGACAAGGGAATGAAAAGTATATTTGGAGGATTTTACGAGCTACTGCATGCCCCCGGATCAGATCGGAGCAAAGACGACTGAATGTCGGTATAACAGTGAAAATTGTTAGATAGCCTTTTTTAGCTTTTGCTTGAAATGGAATCTTCCTACGGTGTGCGCTGTGTCGCTTGTTTTTGTGTCGCCATGATGCAAGGAAAGAACTGAAAGATGCCGTACGTAATTATATATTGGCTCAAGGAAGAACACACTCTCAAACGCGGTGGGTTATAGTGGAGGTAGCAAGGATTCAAACTGCAAGCACTGTACAGAAGATTCAACTAATTATCCGAAAATACAAAATGAACTTCATGCTCAAAGTTGGTAGCCTTCCAGACGATGAGACGCAGTCACTCACAGACACTTAGAGTACTACTTGAAGTTAGTATAACTTCCAGACGAAGGACCTTCGCTCGTGTTTCTCAAGTCTTCTTTCGTATTTTTCAAGTATTTGAATGCGAACAGTTCAAAGAAGTGCACACTGTCGTATCTTTGACCGACAGGAAAATCCGTGAAACGAGGTAGAGCCGTAGAGGTTGTGATTTCCGCGGAATTCAGAAAGTAATGGGTTTTGTTATTCTGTTTATGAATAAGTACATGTAGCTTAATTAATGCTACGTTCAGAAGGCTTCAACGTTCGGGAGAGCGGCTATTCAGTCAGGCTGCTAAATTTCATAAAGTACTGTAGGTATGGAACAAACGTACGGCAATCTTGTACACACGGAGCTCAAAGGCTCTGGATACGAGGGTTGAAAGTTGATTGAAATATGTTGTCGATTTGACCATACGTTTTCAGTTGGTATAGGCTATACTGGTAGTTATCTACTTAGTAAAGTTTGCCATTCCAATCAAGCTTAAATCACTTAAAGAACGATATTTACGTAGTGAAACACGTATAGCATAACATATTAGTTTTCGGAAATTTTTTACCTCATAACGCATGCATCAACTCAATTTTTACTCACCACCAGCACACGATTTGGAACAAACTGACAATTCAGTAGAATTCCAGTAAAACATTTTCTTCGAAGGCTTGACAGGTGTGTTAGTTGGACTGTAATAATGTATGTCTACTCCTTGATTTCTCCTCTTTATGTAGACAAACTGAAAAAGAATGTAAAAATAACCTTACGAATTGTTCAATTTTCGACATTTTCTATTTTGATAAAATGGACGACGGTAAGGATGCGCGATCACGAATACATGAGTCAGTTCACTCAGAGGTGACATCATTTTGATCACCTCGAGTCAAATTGACCTTAATAAAAGAACACTGTTATTCTCAGCATGATGCTTAGGCGTTTTGGGCATGATTCAAATTAAATTATCTGCTCCTCTTCTTATCAAAATCTTTAGGCAAAAGTCATGGCAGACCCTTTTCCACAGGCAACACTCTCCGAGATAGTCAATTTCAGGGCCTTCATTATTTATACTATTAACCTTATAGATTACTTCTACTTCTTCCTGCGAGCATTCCTTATTTTGGAATTACAGTTACAATATGTCATTATTCTGTAATATAGCATCATGATAGAGCAACTCGTACCACAAGTTTGAGCTGTTGGTTTACTGGTCCAGGAATAATGATCTCATCATTGTAAAGATTTGCTTTACGGATATATTTGATTCTTGTTCCAGCTTTATATACAGTCTTTGACCGAGATGGTAGCTTCAAAAGATATTCCCCTTTTAGGTTTTGGACACCTATATCCATATATATATATACAAGTTAAAGGAATTGTATTTGATAATGATACAGTATATACACTGGCTGTTAGTGCATGAGGGTTTTTATTTTATGCATGCATGCATGGACGTTAACTGCGTTCCAATAAAACTCTGCTGCTCTTGGTCGATTATTAAAGGTGCCCTACAGTCCGATCTGCGCATGTGCACAAAGGAGCCCACTTTTTATGATACAACAGTTTGACTATGTTTTGGGTTCTTGCAAAGCCTGATTGTTGTTTCTTGATCATTTATTATAGAAGCTTGAAAATATAAATACATTAGTTATTGAATAAAGCTCAATATTTTGGACACAAAAATGTAAACAAAGGCTTTGTTTACATACGGGCTGTAGGGCACCTTTAAGATATGCATAGCCTTATGTATTTCGTGAGTATACTTAGCAGCCAGGCACATCGGGAAGACCTGAAGAAAACCAGGACCTCTTTTAAGAATTTTTCAATTGAAGCGCCATCAAAGAAATGGGAGTGAGAGACCTAACTAGGAGGTGGTAAACGTGAGAAGTGGGAAATTGTAGGGTCTGTGGCCTCCTCCACAAAACTGTTGTATTTTAAGCCTCTCGAGCTTGGTTTTCGGCGTTTTTAGACATAGTTAACTGCCTTCACTGGAGAGGCCAAAGCCAGAGCCCCCCCCCCTCCCCGCAGTCTGTAATTGTGTTGAAAGAGGTCCTGGAAAACATTCATTGTGTACTTAACAACAAGGGCAAATAATGTTAGCCAATCAGCGCGTTTGTTTACATTTTGCGTTCTTCACCAATCAGAATGCCTGAAATTCGAAACATGTAAACAAAAGGAGTGAGAAAATAACACCTTGTTCTACGCCCTCGGTGACATTCGATATTAAACTTTTTTCGCCAAAACTGACAAATTCTGATAAAGCATGCTTTCTCCTTTAATTTCCTCGGGGGGATTTTTAAAATTCGATCTAGAACGCGAAATATTTATGTTTGAATAACAGTGTTTCGACGCGCGTAAAATAGCAGACTCTCACTTGCACTATCTTTACACACACATAAAAAATTGGTAGATTTGGCAGTTTAAACTTATTTTCCCCACACCACAGCTGACATGTTTTTAAATATTACCTATTACTAAAATCACTAAACTGGCCACATCCCGCTAAGATTTTCAAACGGGGAAAGACGTTTGATAATTCCAAATTCAATTTTCGTTCAGTCATGTGACCAAAATGATGAAGTCATGTGATCAAATTGTTTCATCATTTTGGTCACATGACTTCACGATTTTGTTATCAATTTATTTTTGTACATGGGTTTTTAATTTTATTATCCAATCAGGTGCGTAGTTTTGAATTAAACGTCAGAAATTCGTTACTCAACAGTCAAGTTATTCAAACGTAAACAAGGTCACAAACATCCAAACGAAGGTCAATGCAACAGAATATATGAAATATTCGTATTATGTTCATGTTAAAGTTCCATAATCGTAATAAACAATCTATCTAGTATCTATCTTATAATATGATCTGCATTTTAGCGAAAATATGATCTCCATCTTGTAATATACTGAGTTGTTTCGAAGTTGACTGGGAGTAATGATTATAAATAGCACTGTCAAATCGTGAAGTCATGTGACCAAAATGATGAAACAATTTGATCACATGACTTCATCATTTTGGTCACATGACTGAACGAAAATTGAATTTGGAATTATCAAACGTCTTTCCCCGTTTATCAAACGTCTTTCCCCGTTTGAAATTCTTAGCGGGATGTGGCCAGTTTAGTGATTTTAGTAATATCTGATCTCATCGATCTCATTTCGCATCGGAAATGCGTCACAACGATCCAGGACTGAGAGGTACAATATCGCATGACTCATTACTGTACATTAAAAGTACATATCCGGTTGGCAAAATGGCGATTGTCAGCAAGACCTTTGCGAAGGGCTTAATATTTTTGCTAATAAACTGTTCACGAGGGTTTCGTTCTGTTCGTCTTCTGGTTCGTCGTCAATCGTCATCGGCTGCCTCACTTTCTTGGTCGCTTTCGTCCTCTTCAAAGCAAGTCGCCGGGGCAATCAGCGTTAATATTTGCTGTCTTTCGAAGACCTTCCAAGAGCTTCAACATTTGCTAACGTTGTTGCTTCACAAACTGGGCAATCGCTGATGTTGGGCAGGATGCATTCGATGTGGAACGCAGGTCCACAACCACGGAAAACGTTCCAAGTGGATTAACCTTTTCGCAGGCAGGTAAATCGCAGGTAAGATTTATATTTGATACATTTATAGTCAGCGTCCTTGGTGATTGTTCCAAAATATGAGTGTGTGCCAAAGTTAAAATATTACTCATAATCTCCAGAACATGTTTGGACAATGTTTTGAATCACTGCAGTTTAGAATTAGCAGTCGTTTTAAAGACAACAGAACTGGCAGCCATGGCACCCCATAACTATTCAGTGTACAAATACCAGACAATGTAAATTACCACCTCCCCCAACCCAGAAGTAGGCAGTTTTTATTTCCCAGCACTGCATAATCAAAATTGCTGGATTTTATAAATGCCTGGCTTTGTCTCAGTGGCCCTGCTTTGCCCCATGAACCCCACACTTCCTAGATTCAAGCAAGCAGGGACTTATATTGACTGGTACTTAGGTCCTGTTTATATGGAAGCCGGGCTGGCCCGCTAAGTGAGACAGCCCGGTAAGCGAGATCTCGCTGTGTAGTTATTTTTATAGTAAAATTATTGTGCGTTTATATGGACAAATGGGCTGGCCAGGTTGCCGAGATCTCACTTGAAAAGAGGTGAGATCTCGCTTACCGGGGTGGAAATTTCTCCATATAAACACTCACAAGCGGGCTAGCCCAGTTGCTGGGATGAAAGATACCGCCGCAAGCTATTTTAACAACTGTCAAAACCAGCAAGCGGGATGAAATTTTCTCATATAAACACAAGAGAAATTCATCCCACCTGCCTGTCTCGCTAAGCAGGCCAGCCCGGCTTCCTGCATATAAACAGGCCCTTAGTTGAATTGCAGCACTTGGTCTGCCTGTGTGTTATAAACTTTTAAGTGTACCCTGGTTCTTTGCAAGGTAAAAGAAACAAGAGGTGAGAATGGAAAGCCTCTAGCTGATCATATCAATTGCAAATCCCACTTCCACACTTGAATAGGTTCAGAATTTGAATCTCGCATGTGATTGGCCATTTGTAAAAATATGTCAAACCTGTTTGGGAAATAAACACTACTGTGAGCTAATTATAGCTATCTATCTATTTAGCATGCCAAATAGGGCCGGGTCACCACAACAGCATATGCAAATTACTGTGAGCCCCTTTTTACCCAACCCACCCTGTCAACTTTCCATGTGGGAGGAAACTGGAGTACCCGGGGAAAACCTGTGACGTTCGGCAGAGCGTTGCGGTTTATTCTTTTCACATGAGGACTGGGTTTGAGTCGCATTGAGAAAGTTCTCACTGACTTGAACCTGTGGCCTCAGAGGTAACAGGCAAGTGCACTAACCACTTGGCCACCGAAGCCCCAATTAAAAAGCCCCAAGCTATTATAGTAAACTCAACCAAGCATGAATATTAATACTCCCGCAGGTGAAAAGGTATTAAATTTCTCAGGAGATAAACATATCAACAGTTTTGCAGGACATGTAATACATTCTTGGTTGAGTTTAATAGAATATTTTAATACAGGCTATAATTAGCTTACAGCAATGTTTATTTCCCAAGCCAGTTTGGCATATTTTTACAAATGGGCAATCACATGCGAAATTCAAATGCTGAACCTAATCAAGTGTGGAAGTGGGATTCGCAATGGACAGTGACCCTGGGCTGTACACAGCACAGGGGAGGGGGCGGCAGGAGGGGGAAACTGCCCTCCTAAAGAAAACTATATTTACAATTTTTAGAATGTCATTATTAATTATTCTTTGGATATTAGGCTCTCCGTTCTCGCATCTTGTTTCTTTCGCCTCGCAAAGAGCCTCTGGAACCAGAGTACACTTAGAGTAACACACACACACAGAGCAAATAATATAATGCTTTTAAGGCAGTGAATTGGTAGGAAAATCTTTCAATAATATCCTGTGATTATGGTAAACTATGAACCAAACCAGACAATATAAATCCCTGCCTGCTCAAATCCCAAGTGTGGGGCAAAGCAGGGTCACCGAGACAAAACCAGATATTTACACACAGATATTTACAGATAGTGACAGTGCTGAGAAGTAAAAACTGCCTACTTCTGGGTTGGGGGAGGTAGTAATTAATTACATTGACTAGTATTGTACATTAAATAGTTATGGGGTGCCATGGCTGCCAGTTCTGTTGTCTTTAAAAGAGTTAAAGGACTGCTAATTCTAAACTGCAGTGATTCAAAACATTCAAACATGTTCTAGAGATTATGAGTAATATTTTAACTTTGGTACACACTCATATTTTGGAACAATTTCCAAGGACGCGTACTGACTATAAATGTATCAAGATCTGTAAATATAAAATATAAATCTTCCTTTAAAATTTCCATCGATTTGCGATTTGCCTGCCTGCAAAAAGGTTAGTCCACTTGGAACGTTTTCCGTGGTTGTGGACCTTTGTTCCACATCAAATGCATCCTGCCCAACATCAGCGATAGCCCAGTTTGTAAAGCAACGTTGAAGCTCTTGGAAAGACAGCAAATACTAACGCTGTTTGCTCCGGCGACTTGCTTTGAAGAGGACGAAAGCGACCAAGAAGTGAGGCAGCCGATGACGATTGACGACGAACCAGAAGACGAACAGAACGAAACCCTCGTGAACAGTTTATTAGCAAAAATATTAAGCCCTTCGCGAAGGTCTTGCAGACAATCGCCATTTTGCCAACCGGATATGTACTTTTAATGTACAGTAATGAGTCATGCGATATTGTACCTGTCAGTCCTGGATCGTTGTGACGCATATTGTACCTGTCAGTCCTGGATCGTTGTGACGCATTTCCGATGCGAAATGAGATCGATGAGATCAGATAGGTAATATTTAAAAACATGTCAGCTGTGGTGTGGGGAAAATAAGTTTAAACTGCCAAATCTACCAATTTTTTATGTGTGTGTGAAGATAGTGCAAGTGAGAGTCTGCTATTTTACGCGCGTCGAAACACTGTTATTCAAACATAAATATTTCGCGTTCTAGATCGAATTTTAAAAATCCCCCCGAGGAAATTAAAGAAGAAAGCATGCTTTATCAGAATTTGTCAGTTTTGGCGAAAAAAGTTTAATATCGAATGTCACCGAGGGCGTAGAACTAGGTGTTATTTTCTCACTCCTTTTGTTTACATGTTTCGAATTTCAGGCATTCTGATTGGTCAAGAACGCAAAATGTAAACAAACGCGCTGATTGGCTAACATTATTTGCCCTTGTTTTATGCCCTTTATTATGCTTCACGAATCACGAGAGCGGCGCAAATTAGATAGTTGAAGTTATGATAACTGATGTT